TCGTCTAATTAAACGGACGCGACCGTTTCTTTTTCAGGCAACAAACGAGACAGTGTTTCGAAAGCTAAATATCAAAAAGTAGTACGCTTTTTACACGTTACTCTGAATCACACATCGTTCCGATCGTATATCCGAGAAATAACATAATACGTTGACATACAACGAGGATGCAACTCTGTGTGTGTGTGTGTGTGTGTATGCCGTTACCGAAGTTACCGAAGTTACCGAACAAATTATGTTTCGACGAGTTCGTTCGATTCGCCGTACCTTACACGTTACTGTCGAATCTCCACGTTATTGTTGCGTTTAAGTAGCCACGATGTTAAGACCGGTTCGTTGGGCGCATCGCTTCTTGTAGCTTTTCGGTCTTTTCCCTGTGATTGTGCGAGCGGAGGCAAGTACGAGCCAGGGAAAACGGGTCAGAAGAGGAAACAAACTCGGCTAAATACACACGTGTATACTTGCACAACGTGTGTTTGTTGCGTGTACACGCTTCGCGTAGTTGTATAACGATTTAGATTGATTGCAGCGTAGATGGTGGTCAAGTCTTTGTCTGGAGAAGACCGGCCAATGTGTGCAAACGAGGAGAAAATTTCAGTACAAATTCGATAGCTTTATCGTTTGATCGTGGAAGAACAAGAACAATTAAACGTACTAAAAAGAACGAGAGATGGCAATAAACGAATAGCGCAAGTGCACAAACGACAGGATTAGGAAAATCCGTTGGACGACGATTAAGCGCTCGACGCCTCGGTACTAATATCGACGATATTTCGTGAATTACGATTGCGACCCCAAGTCTTTCCTTCCAGCCCCGTCTATCGCACATGTATCATTCACTCCGAAATCATCCATTCGTTTCTATGTCCATATATGTATATTATATCTATACGATATTGTTTCCTCCCGAAACTGTAAAAGATTTACGCCGATCATCCCCCGAAATTATCTCTTTAGTCCCCGTTATCTACGACGAGAAAGAGATATTTACCGAATCACCCGATATTTATCACTCTGAAAAGCAAGTCGAATAAATTTTGCAAGAATAATCTGAAAATAAAAAAAAAAAAAAAAAAAAAACAGAAAAAAAATCCGTAGGCTATAAGACGTTGATCGATAGAAAATATAAAAATGTGGCGATTCCGCTCGCTGTAATTAGAGGTAATGTTTTTTAAGACGAAACAAAATCAATGCGAGTAAACGAGAGCGATTTTTATGTAAATTTTCTTGATAATTTTGTAAAAAGTTTTATTTAATCTTCTAATCTACCAATAAATTAAACAACAGTTTATAAATTAAAACGAAACGATATTATATA